CTGAACCCCCCTAAAATAAAAATCCTAAAATCTCCCCTGATTAGAAGTAAGGATTAGATCTAACTTTCATCTTAAATAATATACTAGGGCTGAAGTAGACCCTGTTGATGCATTTATAATAAAATGACCTGATGTGCAAGATTCTTCGAGGTGGTGAAGCATCTGGTCCACACCACAACCCAATCTTATTGAGTAAGACCTTGGTTCATCTAGCACTAAATAGCTGGAATATAGGTATACTGCAGTAAAATAACTGAATAATAAGTCTTAGAAACCAAACCACTGGACGAAGTATTATTCGTCCAGTTTTGACCCCAAGGACAAGTGTGATTCACAAATAAGGATCACCACAGGGTTTAAGATACTTGTACCAAAAAAATTGATGTGACTTTTTGCATGCATTCTCTGAAACCAGTTGCAGAAGACTACATCTGTGCTGTGCAAGCAGAATCACAACATTCTGTGCTCAAAGGAAGTCTTTTGAGTTGTGCGTTTTTATTCGATGTTTGATGTAATCCCAAGTGAAACATGAAGAGAGGGCGGGACATAATGTAGCTCCTCCCTTTAAAAAAGCAGCCAATTCACCTTATTCTTTGCGTACGAGGTGGCGCAGCCATTTGAATCTTTTTTGCTCGATACTTCCAATCTCATTCACTTCCATTCATTTCTTGACGTTAAAAACAGCTGGTTAGGCTGCTTGATGTTGCAAATTGATGGATGCGTCACTCTAAATATAACCGAGTAACATTTTAGCCCTGTTCATAGAAAAAAAAAAACTAAAATCAGTCATCTTATTTTGTGTGAAAATGCACTGAACAGTGAGCTTTAGGGCACATTCAACTCCTCTGAGAACTCTGTGTCCTTTCCTGTGGCTGAACATCTTTGCATTTGGCAAGATAGTAATGTTATTAGGGGTGATGCACCAAATTTGGAGAAAAATATTAAATAAAGTTGTGCTGCTGCCCAGAAGTGTTCAGCGCGCAGGTTTTACTCCTTCCAGGTGTAGTGACTGAGTCTTGTTAAGCAGATTTCACAGCTTTTCCAACTCACCCTTCTCAAGCAGCACCCTATCTGCAGTTTAGGGTTTGTCAAAATAGTGAGCGGTTTGACTCATGGTCACTCTCATCAACATTTAACACTACTGGATTCAGAAAAATGTCCAATTCAAACATCATATTTTCAAGCACTCTCCACTTTCCCTCCTCAGCTCTGCATATCTCTTCTAAGCTTCCTAATGTATTTACGTTGGTGTGTTCATCAATGGCTTTTCTCCAGCTGTCGGCCAAACTTTTTGTCTTCAGAAAAAGACTTTTCTTACTTCCCGTTAATATTTGCTTTTTTCCTGATCTTCCTGATATGATGTGACTCTTTCCAGAAATGTGTTTCCAAACCTGTAGTTTGAATCAAAGTTTCAGCTCTTTTTCTTTTAGCTTCTCTAGAAGAATACCAGCCTGATCTCACAAGAAAACATAAGTATTTTACGTTTTGGCAGTTTTGTGGCTAAACTGAGTTCAGTCGTAAGAAATGGTACGATTTTAAAAAAGAGGCGTGGCACCTAACCCCACCCCTAAACCCAACCGTCATTGGGGGATGAGCAAATCGTACTAAAATGTACGAATTAGATCATATGAATTCGTACGAATTAGCCCCTAAATGAAAAAGCTACGAATTGCCGTGAGATTGTGTTGAAAAATAAATATTCTGGAGAACTTGCCAGTCAAAATCTATTTTTTAATCTATCTATATTTTAACCCTTTTTTTTCTTCACATTTTTAAAGGAGAAGAATGAATAACATTTTGTATTCCCTCACAATGTATATGTATATATTTTCCAACGGTTATCTCTGTCTTTTTAGAAATTAAGGGCTTTGTTTCTTTACATTTATCACAAGTGTTGCAATTTTCAGTGACCAAATAATCTGCACATCCAATTTTTTGATGAGTTTTTTGTTTAATGTATTCATTTTGGCTTGATCTTAATCGATTTATTTTATTTCCCAATAACCCCTGGCCTGGGCCTTCACAAATAACCAACCCAGGCTGATTCTGAAAACGTAGTCCCGTGGACATTTCTGGAGACCGTAAAATATGTTCCAGGAGGTACGTATGGCTGCATTTCATTTTTTTTTAAGAGAATGCTGCGGTGCGGTGTGACGCCGTTCCTTTCAATGCCTGCCGGTCGACTGCTCACCTCCATGTGGAGGGCTTTCCCGCCACAACCAGTTTGTCCGGTTAGCTCGTTGTGTACGTCGGCAGACTTGAGGCGCAGAGAGGATCTGACCACGACGACAGCCAGGTTCGAGTCCGGGGAAGAGCGGTTCCAGAAATCAGGTAAGACAAAAACAGAATCCAAAAAATAAAGCGAGCAAGTTCATTACAGGGTGAGAATGTGGTGAAATCTGAAAACGTGGTAAAAATCAGACGAGGGCTTTTCTTTTTCTGGACGGCTTTTGTAAATCGCCGTTGGTTGGGTTTAGGAAAGGAGGAGGGTGGGTCAGCTGATTGGCCGGTTGCACGATCAATCATTCTGTCATTCAAACAGACAGACGGAAGGTCGCTCAACAGGCAGGTTTCCGTGAGAACAGCGTGGGCGCGAACGGCGCTCGCAAGAGACGTTCGAGATACAAAAAAGCGAGCACAGCGGCCTCTTGCAGATTCGTGCAAATAAAAACTGCAAAAATACATACCTCCCGGGACGAATTCGCGGTCTCCAGAAACGTCCACGGGACTATGTTCTCAGAATGAGCCTGGGTTGAAAATAACACATAAATCTACGTCCGTTATACAATCTAACATGTCACAGAGACCAAAAGGCAACAAAAAAAAACAAATCATCAGGTCTATTCACAGTGATTCGGCCCTTTTTCAGTGCTTATGGGTTTACATCAGTCACTTCTCTGTTCCGTAGCTCTGCCTGCAAGAATCTATTTTTAGATTTCAGTTGAGCATGACACTGCATGCCACTATACCTCCTTAACTGCACTTGCCAAAAAGCAATCACTCTCGTGTCGTCTCGTGCGCATTCCTCACACCCTTCGTGTGAAAGTTTACTGGGTTTTATTTGAGGTACATCTTTTAGTTACTCGGTCCACCCCCAGCGTTCACTCCCACAGAGATCAAAATACATTATTAAAGCAAATATGCTTACCTGAGGGCCCGCTGGTCTCTGAGTGATCCACTGTCAAGACAGGGTTCAACGCTAAGGATTTTTTCTACTTGCCCGATCGGACCAGTGGTTCAGATTTTTACTTGCCCTGCCAATGTTTTCACTGTCCCTACCAAAAAAAAAATGTTAATAGCTATTTCTAAGCCACAAATTAAAACACTTAAAAATGTGTCAAAATGTTTGTAAATCTAGAATTTAAATGTTCAAAAAAATTTTAATAAATGTACAATGAGCAAAATTCAAAGTGTTTTGCAAACAAAAGCAGCAAAATGTGCAGGCGTTTTATTGCAAAACAAAAGAAGGCTTGCCTATCAAACTGACGTCAAACTGTACAAAACATGGACAAGTAGTCACAGGCAAATTAAACTTTAGCGACAGGGCATCAGTGGCCCAATCGGGCCAGTAACAATCCTGTCTACTGTCCCGAGCATCTCACACGCTGGCCCTGGGCCATCTGGCAGTCCTTATTGTTGAGCCATGCAAGAGCTTCCAGCACCACTATCAATGTTCTCGATCCAGCCACCTCATTTATTGAGCACCAAATATGTTGTGGAAAAAAGTTCATATTTGTTAAGTTTTTTTCTCAAAAGTAAAGAAGACAAAGCTTTCAAAATAACAAAGTCTGAGATCTCCGAAGTCTTCAGGCAAAGCAGTTTATTGTTACAGCATCAGCAGCAACAGAGGCAGGTTGATCGAGTGTCTTCCAGCAACTTTTATACTTTACCTTTTCTCTTCAGGTCTTCTCCTCCGGTTGTCAAGTACATTACATACATTATCTCTCTTTCTTTCACTGATTTTATCATTATTTAAGTCGCAAAGAGTACTACCTGTGGCGGATACAGTTGCAGGTCTGCTCAAGTTCAGCTGTTGGCTGCATTTATAGCTCTAGTTCAAAGAATCTCGGAGGCCCCCAGATATTGATCATAGTGTGTTTAAGGCCTTGCTGTCATAAATCTGTCACGTATTCCCTTTTAGCCCTTCAGCTCTTCTCTGTTTTTCCACCTGTCCAGCTTGATCTCACGAGAAAGCGTGAGTATTTTACGTTTTGCCAGTTTAGTGGCTAATTCGTACGAATTCGTACGAGTTCAGTCGTACGAAATGGTACGATTTTAAAAAGGAGGCGTGGCACCTGACCCCACCCCTAACCCCAACCGTCATTGGGGGATGAGCAAATCGTACTAAATTGTACGAATTAGATCGTACGAATTCACACGAATTAGCCACTAAATGAAAAAGTTACGAATTGCCGTGAGATTGTGTTGTGTCTGTGGTAGTACAGAATGCTAGTTAAGCTACTTTGTTGCTGCATCCGCTTGGTTATTCTTTATATGTTAATGCACATGTAAATGATAATATAAATGATAAATTCATACACGCATAAATGATTACTGCCGTAGGTATGAATTAAGACATACTCAAAGGTGCATACAGGATAAAACTGAAGTCACTCAACAATCATGATAATTGGGACGTAGATTAATGAACGGCAATTCACCAACACTACTTATGAAGGCCATTTTGCTTTAGTTGATCTTTTTTCCAGTCAATGTTTTGGTAACAAACACTTTAGTTAAAGTACCAATTCTCACTGTTAACTGGTATCTAAATATCTGCCTATTATTAAGAGATTGGCTGTTTATTAGTACATATAAAGCACAAATTCGGCTTTAACTCACTCTGCATCCCTAAACCCACCAAACTACTACTTTAATAACTGTTAATAATGGAGTTTATAGTGGGAGGCAAAAGTTATAGTTAATGGTTTATTAATAGTGTGTGTGTGTGTGTGTGTGTGTGTGTGTGTGTGTGTGTGTGTGTGTGTGTGTGTGTGTCAGGCTGTTTCACTTTGTGATTTGCAGCAGAGCTGTGAGCGTCTTCATCAGGAGCTCCAGCAAACATTAACAGACACAAGCAGAGGAAACCGCTACACACTCACTGTAAGTTTGCTTTCATTTACTGAACTTCAACAGGATGAACCGAATATAATTGACAAGCCAAGACAGTGTTTATTCTCCATCCACTTGTAGAGTGTTAGCTGTAAATGCTCTTAGGAAAGGAACATTTAAGAAAGGGATCCCTCAAGAGCGGATAGTCTGTTTATGTTTTGATCATATGTTTTCCAGTTTTAAACGGAATAAAGGAACGGATGAAAGCTGACGTTTTTCGTTTTTTCCTTAGCTCACAAAAAAACAAGAATTCGGCTGGATTTTCGTTTTTTTGGTTCAGGGTAGGAAAACACGTGTAGGCAGTGCTGAAAAATCAGGGTATCTTCCGTCCAATCCATATCTGTTTTCAAAAAAAAAAAAAGAAAAGAAAATGAAGAAAACAGCCGTTTTTCATTTGCTCACAAGAAACGAAAAAACAAGATTTTGGCTCGATTTTCGTTTTTTTTATTTAGGGTAGGAAAATGGATAAATGACTTCAAAATTTATTATACACATGTAGGCGGTGCTGAAACGCCAACTTTCCTTTGATTGGTCAACCAAATCTGAGGTTGTGACGTAGCCCTCAAAATAAGAGCCCTCTGTTGACCAGCACCCAGGCTTTTAATTATTATTAGTATTATTTAATTATATATATATATATATATATATATATATATATATATATATATATATATATATATATATATATATATATATATATATATATATATATATATATATATATATATATATATATATATATATATATATATATATATATATATATATATATATATATATATATATATATATATATATATATATATATATATATATATATATATATATATATATATATATATATAGATATATATATATATATATATATATATATATATATATATATATATATATATATATATATATATATATATATATATATAAATATA